GTTTCTAAGACTGTCAATTTTACAGGATTAGAAAGTCTCATCTTTCTCCCTTGGAGTACCTGGTAGTTTTGAACTGCTGACCTTTTGGTTAACAGTCCAATGTGTAACCTACTACACCTCCCTCTAAAAATCACAAACTCACTGCCATCTAATTGATTCTGATTTATAGTGACCTCGTGGAGCAGCTGGTGGTTTCGAACCACTGACCTTGAGGGTAGTACCCCAATGCATAACCAGTGCTCTGCCAAGACTCCCAGTATATCACCAGGGCTCCCACTACACTCTCAGGGCTTCATAATTCATGACGATAGGCTCAGAGACTTTATAGACCACACTTACCATTAAGTGGTTTATTAAGGATACAACCCAGGGTCAGAACTAAGACACTACCACTCAGGATCCAGGCAGCTTGTAGGCAAAGTCTGAAGCCTCATGCAAAGTGTAAAGCAGGTCTCTCAGTTCACGCTTTGCCTTACAAGCAAGCCGACCCTACTCCCTACCATGCACACCCTTTCTCTGCCCCCTCTAGACAGACTCCTTTCCCCTTACCCCTCCCAGGTCAGACTCCTTTGCCTTGGGCCTTCCTGCCAGGTTATAGCCTTTACAGCTTTTTTAGGACCTTCCTTGCCTCCTCTTCTGTTTTCTCTCTTGCCTTTTCTCCTTTCTACTTGTCACCAATTTTAGTACATGGTGCTCCCACTAGAGCCACAAACTGACCAATACCCTCTCAGTAGGCCAGAGACACTTCATTTGTAAAGTAGGCTCTGGTAACTTCAGCTATATAGTCTATACTAACTTTATTTGCATAGTATATTGATTAATCCCTACAGGCATGTTCCCATCTCCCTGCAGGCTGAAGCAAAAGAGCAGAAGGAACTGTTAATCCTTTGGGATAGAAAATTAGAGCTAAAGTAATGTTTCCAGTTTTGTTGTTGTTGCTGTTGTTGTTTTTTAATCAAAGCAGAAGACCACACAAAGAAATTGATCTTACTGCACCCATACAGTGTTAAAGTCATGATGGGGGCACTGCGGGAAACACAAACTCAACACGCCTTGGCAATCAGATGGCGAAAGACGCCTTCTTTCAGTACTACGGTTGTGTTCATTGCATTTGGGGGCCTTCCCAGAACAAAGGCCCAGTGAAAAGGGAACCTTCTGGGCCAGTTAAATCCAAAGCATCAAAGGCAGCTCAGAAGGTTATGGCCATTGTTTTTTGTGGTGGTCTTGACATATTTTCTCAAACAACACAAAATGATCACAGGGGTTGATTATGAAGAAGTTTTCAGAAAATGGAAAATTGCATTGGTGAGAAAACAAGAAAGTTGTGCCAGGGAATTTTTTTTTTAACAACAATGCACCTGCTCATTCTTCAAGGATAAGCAAGGCTTTCATCGGAAGCCTTACACCAGCCACTCTCTAGCCCTGGTCTCACTGTTTACTCTCATAATTAAAGTGTAGAAGGTATAAAGAACTGCGTTTAAATAGTTTCTTCCTTTAAAAGACTGTAGTCATTCTCTTTGAGTTGAGTTTAGACTGAGATTTTTCCTTACTTAGAAAAACAGAAACATTCAATCTGACCAAACAAAAAAAGATTTCTATGAACTCTACCTTTTAGATATGTTTCGAATTGAACCAGTTCTTAACTGGCTCAATGGCAGTGGATCTGGCTTTTGGCTGATCATATCCAATGCTTCCTCCACATTCAAGCAATCATCACGCTTTCCCTGGATATTCAGAAGAAACTACAAACAGTTTCCATTGAGTTCATTACAACTCATGGCAGCTGCAAGTTCAAGTTGATGCTAAAGAAAACTAAAGCATGTGCATGAGAGCCAAGATACAAATGATCAACTCCCACCTTAAGGTTGCAATATTGTCCATAGAACAGATTGGATATGCTACCTCTCAAGAACATCAGAATTGGACGGAGTCTCATTAACAACCTGGGATATGCAAATGATACAACCTGCTTGCTGAATGAAAAAAAGAACCTGAAGCACCTACTGATTCCTTGGCACCCAATGTTCTGTTGCGTTGATGAAGATCAAAGAGTCTAGTCTTCACTGTGAATTACACCACCTCAATGTAAAGAAGCCCAAAATCCTCACAACTGACCAATAGACCACATCAGGATAAACGGAGAAAAGATTGACGCTGTTAAGGATTTTGTTTTACCTTGAGCCACAATCAATGTCCATGAAAGCAACATTTAAGAAATTAAGTGGCATTCTACATTGGGTAACTCCATTGCACAAGACTTCTTGAAAGTATTAAAAGGTAAAGATGACACTTTGAGAGCTAAAATGCACCTGACCCAAGCCATGGTATTTTGAATCACCTCATATGCATGAGAGAGCTGGACAATGAATAAGGAAGAACAAAGAAAAATCAGTGTATTTGAATTATGGTGGGGGGGGGGCGCAAATATTGAAGTACTGTAGACTGCTAGAGGAACACACAAACCTGTCTTACAGGAAGTATAGCTAGAATGCATGTTATAAATGAGGATGGCAAAACTCCAGGGCACACATTTGGTGCATGTCATGAGGAGTGGCCAGTCCTGGAAAAGACTAGTGTGCTCGATAAAGGAGAGGGTCACAGAAAATGAGGAAGACCTTCCAGGAGTGGATTGACACAGTGGCTGCAACAATGAGCTCAAACATAACAATATGTGTGAGGTCGGTGGAGGAACAGGCAGGGCTTCATACTGTTATGCGTAGGGTTGGTATGAATCAGAGGTATTTCCCCAGGACCTGTTAACAATGTTCTGTTGTACGCCTAGTTGAAACTACTCACAAAATCATCTATAGAAAGTTAAAGTGCAAAATTGTTAAGGAAAGATTCAAATACATATTCATAAATAAATACATATTAAATACATATTTATTTAATGCAAAATGATAATGTTGGACTGAGGCTCTTGGATAGGAATTTTTAAAACTCAGTTAAAAATATAATGAATTTATTCTGAGAAGCTCAGCTCTTCCCAAGATGTATAGTTTTGATGTATTAATTAGTTGATGGATCAGAAAACATGCAACAAGATCATATGCTTATTAACCTGTAGTTACACTTTTTGACGGAACCTGTAAATGTCAGTGCCTCCTGCCTCATTAATCACCACCAGAATTAACCAGTTAGTGACATGGTGTTTTGCACAAATTCACACTCACAGTATTTTGTGTCATGAGGGGAATTGCAGAGAGAATTCTAATAAAATTTCAAGCTTTCCTCCTTCTGGAAAGCATATGTCATACTGAGAAGAAAGAAATATTTTGAAAAATTCATCTAGAAGCCCAATATAGATATGCACAGTGTGTTACACAAGGAGCCCTGGGGGCATAGGGGCTCCAAGTTGGCCTGCAATCCACAAGGTCAGCAGTTTGAAACCACAGCCCCTCTAAGAAAGAAAGACGGGACTGTCTTTCCCCTAAAGAGTTAGTCTCAGAAACTCAAAGAGGCAGTTCTACCTGTCTTACCGGTTGCGATGAGTTGGAATTGACTCAATGGCAGTGAGTTTGATTCTGTTTTGTTTTTCAGTGTGCTACATTGGGAAAGGGGTTGTCAGGGAGGGCAGCAGAAGTAGGCTTTTGATTTGTAAGGTATACCAACTTTACATCAGTTATACCACCTAGAATCCTTTGTAAGCACGAGTACTACACTGTATATTACTTAGTGTAAATCAACTTAGAAACATATGTGTATGACTGCCATGTATAAAGTTGTCGTGTAATGGTAAAAATGATTTGCACACAATTCCTAATCAGACCCACCCAGCAGTACTGTCGAAGGAAGGCCTGGCGATCTGCTTCCATTAAGGCTAAAGCCACCAAAACACCATGATATCATTCTAAACCATTTGGACAGAATCGAACTCAGTGGCAAAAGCTTTGTTTGGGGAGGAAGGGGAGCTTGATAGTGCAGACAGTTAAGCTGCTAAGCAAATGGTTTGAGGCTCAAGTACACTCAGAAACATCTTGGAAGAAAGCCCTGGTTCTCCACCTCTGAAAAATCAGCCATTGAAAACTGTGTGGAGCACAATTCTAATCTGACAAACATGGGTCAGATTCGTCAGTCAGCATTGACTCGATGCCAGCTAATGCTTCTAAAGTGAATGGTAAAGCACCCCTCTTGCACCAGAAAAGTTAATATAATAGTAAAACAGATTAGACAAAACCACAAGTTACCAACACAAATAAAATATTCTAAGCACCAATGGGGAGCACAAAAATTTATGGGGTTGCTACAACTGCTGAAAACAAATTTGGTTAAGTTTGGAAGAAGGGATTACATTTGTGATGGGTCTCCAAGAACCTAGAAAAAAAGTCGATCCATGAGGATATGGATCAAATACGTGGAAAAGAACATTTAATTTATAAGTTGTTGTAAGGTGCCGTTGAGTTAGTTCTGACTCACAGCAACCCTGTATACAAACAAAAAGAAATGCCACCTGGTCTCACACCAACCTCTCAATTATATTTATGTTTCAGCCAATTATTGCAGCCACTGTGTCAATACATCTTGTGGAGGGCCCTCCTCTTTTTTGCCACCCTTCTACTTTATCAAGCACGATGTCCTTTCACAGAAACTGGTCTCTCCTGATAACATGTCCATAGGACGTGAGACAGAGTCTCGCCATCCTTGCTTCTGAGGGGCATTCTAGCTGTACTTCTTTTTTTTTTGAGTGAGGCAGTGAGAGAGTGAGACAGTGAGTGAGTGAGGCAGTGAGAGTGAGGCAGTGAGTGATTGTCAGTGAGTAAGAGAGTGAGGCAGTGAGTGAGTGAGTGAGTGAGTGAGTGAGTGAGTGAGTGAGTGGGTGGGTGAGTAAGTGAGGCAGTGAGTGAGTGAGAGTGAGTCAGTGAGGCAGTGAGTGAGTGAGACAGTGAGACAGTGAGAGAGAGAGAGAGTGAGGCAGTGAGTGAGAGAGTGAGTCAGTCCTAGCTGTACTTCTTCTAAGACAGATTTGTTTGTTCTTTTGAGTGTATCAAAATTAGCATACAGTGCTCACTTATGCAGCACAGATACTAAAATTAGAACGATCCAGAGAAGATTAGCATGGCCCCTGAGCAAGGATGACATACAAATTTATGAAGCATTCCATATTTTTTGTCAGTAGATTCCCCTCTATGATAAAGGTTGGACCTGATCTGGTTTCCAGAATTTTTTGTATTTTTGGTCTGTATTGTGTTGTTTGGTTTTTGTTTGTTCATATTACAGTGTACCTCAGAGGTGTCATGTCAATGGAGGTTACCTTCTTGAAGCTGTGTCATATGCTTTTTGGTTTTTCGGTATGATGAACTTATAGAGACAGCAAGTCGAATAAGGGGGAGTGGGGAAGTGAGTACCGTGGTGATTGGGGCCATAAAAGGGAGACAATGTCAAGGAATCCATGTAGAAAAAGAATGTTTGGAAACTGATTGTGGTACCACTAGTACAATTCTATTCAATGTAATTGAAATATAGAATGATATGATATATGAGGGGTACCCCCCAAAAATGGAATAAAGCTCCGCTGGACAGAGTTTGTGTAGGATGAATTTTTCCCACTAGGTGAGCAACTTGCAACTCACTATTTGAGTTAGTGCACCCAGTGGTACTGCCTGGGAAGGTTCTCTGTGGTTATAGTGACTGTTTTCATAAAGGCAGTTTTGTTCAAACCTCGTTTTTTTGATGACCGATTTAAGAAAACAGTGTGTTGCTGAGAAATTTTTTTCCTGCTCAGGAAAAAAATGCTGCTGAAATTTTTGTGATGTTGAACACAGCTTACAAGGAAAAACTCAAGTGTATGAGTGGTTTTCTCATTTCAAAAAAGGTAAAATGCCAATTGATGACAAACCTCGTTCTGGACATCCGTCAACTTCCCAGACAGACAAAAAGATCAGCTCCTAGTGCATTTGGAGTTCCTCCCACCAGGATCAAGCTTTTTATTTGAAGGTTCTGAAAAGATGGCATGACAGTGTGCGACAAAAGCAGACCTGACTTGTGGCAGACTGGTTTTGCCACCATGACGATGCACCTGCTAATGCAGCCAACTCAGTGCACCAGTTTTTGGCAAAAACAACATGCCTCTCTTGCCCCTCTCACCTGATGCACCTGTCTTCACGCCTTTCAACTTCGTTTTGTTTCCAAACGAAGACTAGAAGATTTGAAAAAAACAAGGAGGTACTGTCAGCCATCCAAACAGATGAGTTTGAAAAATGTTTCCAAGAATGGAATCACAGATTTGACAAATGTATTAAGTGTAATGGAAAGTACTTTGAAGGTGATATGATTGTTGTGTTTAAAAGAATTTAAATATATAGCTTTGAAAAAATAATTGTTTTGGGGGGGGCGGATAGCCCCTCATATGTATTAATTCCCAATTAATAATATTTTTTAAAGCTGTATAGCCTTTAAAAATTAGCATAGAGTTTTAGCCAGGCTGAAGCACTTAAAATTGTCTTACTATTGGAGAAGGCTATTGGTCAGGGGAGTGAGACCAGGGGTGCTAACACAAGATCATGTTTTGAACTTTCCAATCAAATTATTTTAAACATCTTTCATACACTGTGCCATCCAAATGAGCTCACACCTAGGTAGAAATTAACCCTTTCAGACCATTTTATGAGGCGTGGACCTCATCTAGAATAATCACCATGACACCAGAATCTTGACTCTGGAGGTTCACTCGGGTTAAATATCAGTGTAGGAAAATGAAATCCATTTTAAGACTTGAATTTGGCATTTGATTCCAAGATTTGTTGGTTTACAAAAGCAGTTAATGTATTACACAAAGTCTCATACTAAAATGTTTTTCTTTTCTCCGTAACTAGAAATGAATATGCCTCTTCTAGGGTGACTATGTAATTCATTGTCCAAAGCAGGACTATAATGAGTTAAAGAAAGAGCTATGAATGAGCACTGGACAACAGCAGTCAATCAGGGTATGCCCGCATGGCTGAGAGAACCGATCTGGTACAGTCTGGAGCCTCCTTGGGCTCCCACATTGTTCTTGCCCCAGGTGGTCTGCTCCACCAGGGGATGTCTGCTTCCTTCCTGAGGGCTAATCCAGCTCTGCCTGTCAGGGTCAGCAATGGCCGCAGAAGAGGTGGCTTTCTGCCTGTCCAGCAGCAGAGCTCTCTCATTGATCTCCCTGGTGGCCACATTCTCAGTATTCTGTAGCTCAAAGCTGTACTTTCTCTTCTTGTTGCAGTCCTGAGATAAAAGGAGTGAGGGGGACGGTTTAATTCCCTCTTTTTTGTGGGGGGGAAATAATTTCTAGCTTTAATTGGGAGCTGAAGACGAATCACCCATTTACATAGTCCTAGGATCTTTTCTGAGCGACACCAATAAAGACCCGCCCACCCCCACCCCTGGGAATGCTAGCTTGGGGTGTTATCCTGTGTGATGGTATTGGCTTGTTTTGGGGGTTTGTGGTTTGTTTGTTTGCTCTTCAAGATTGAGCAGTACAAAGGTTATTACACTAGGGAAAAAATCTTACTCCTAATGACAAAAACATATTTTGCTTATTGACAAATGCCCTTGTCCTTGTTTACACTGTGGATCAGACAGTTTTCCATATGTCCTCCTAATGATCTCCTCTTGTCTCTTTGGTATCCAGACTCTAAATTCTACCCGTCCTCTGACAGCCTATATATTCCTGCTTCACTTTCTCTGAGTGTTCCTCCTTTTCTCCCTTAAAAGTGTAATTTTAAAAATAGCAGCTACAATAGCCAAGACTTCATGACAGCCGACAGGGTGCTAGGCACTACACAAATTACTTTACCCATACTAACTCACTACATTCTTAACACCAACCCGGTAAGATTACATTAATCTCTATTCTTCCTATGTGACGTACGATAGTGCCTTAAGAGTCACACAACTAACAAGTGATGGGGCCAGGTTTCTAACCTTCTGCCTAACTAAGGATGCATGTATTCTTAGCCACTAACTCATAGTTCTCAACCTCCTTGTGGTCCTACACTCTCTGACTCCCTCTTGCACTGTCTGCCCTACCCCATCAAGCTTTTACTGGGTAACCTAGCATCAGCAACTAAAACCTTGCCATCTGGATGGTCTCTCTTTTTATGGCATTGACATTGTAAACATTAAAGGGCTCACCAGCTCGATTTTAAAATAACTGTAAAGAGGGAACAAAAGTGAACATTGTTTTCTAAAAACTTTCAAAAGCAATGCATCTCTATAGTGTGCCAATAAACATCCAATGATATTATGAACAATTGTCATGTATGTTTTAATAAAGAGAGCCATTACAAAGATGGGGGGACTATGCAGCCATTTTAGCAGAGCTATTGACAAATCTAAAAGAGATTGTAAAGGAAGAGCTGATAATACTGTGCTTGATATTTACCAGGATATGATGGATGAAGAAGGAAGAACCATGGATTACTCTTAAGGCTGGTCCATTAATAAAGAGTCATAAGTGCTTGTTTATTTGTGTATTTGCCTTCCCCACCAGCTGCTAGAATTAGAAAGATACAGAAGCCACCAGTCTGGTAATTCTACCTTGATGACAATTCTACTTCAGGATGATTTTCTTCCTTGTCCCTGTTGGCCCACTTGGAATCCTACATCCCAAATCCCACCTGCTCTCCAAGCCCAACCTGACAGCTGCAACTCACAGTGATCTCTCTCTCTCTCTCTCTCTCTCTCTCTCTCTCTCTCTGCTCCAATTATTTGTACTTAGGAAGTTAGCACCTTGGTATCTCTTGTTCAGATCTGTCACTTTGGGACAATACTAAATAGCACTTATCTCAATTTGATTAACTATTTATAAGACTCTCTACCATGTGCCGGGGAAAGGGTTGTGATAATTTATATTCGTATCCTCACAAAAGGCCCGATACATAGTCTAATAGGGAAAACTGACATGTAAACAAATAACTGAAATAGAGATTTATTGGTACAAAAATGAGATAACTGTAGGTATGAAATACAATATAAAGACAAGTAATTGGGCAATTAATTCAGGGAGTTTTTGATCCACAGTCAAGGAAAACTAAAGAAAGAAGTTATTCAAGTTCATCTTGAAAGTCATTTGGATTATAAAATATATGTATACTTATCACTTTCTGTTTAGATTGTGCATATGTTGACATTTATATTGTTCGTTACACTCTAAGTTCCTTGAAGTCAGGAATGATATGTTCTAAGTCTTCATTTCATTCATAGTGTCAAATATATTTTAATGAATGCGTACATCCAATACTATCCAATTATTTTATTTATATTTCTTTTTCTTCCCTCTCCTCCCTCTAAAGTCCAAGCTAGTCAGCAAAACTTCATTTTACTTTATATACCAATTCATGTGCTAAAATATTGGCCATGTAATATAATTTCAGAACAATTGAATTTGCACATACATGTATAGTTTCTTTTTGTGCCATAACTCTTGTAAGTAAGTACTGAAATTGTTGCTCTGTAACTCAGTAGGAGCTCTTGTGACATCTTATGTAATAGTGATGAAATTAAAAGCCTGGCATGTTTTTTGTTTGTGTGTGTACAGCTTATGGGAAACTTTCAAGTTAATTTTTTCCAGGAATTTCCAAAATCTGAGGTTTCAAACTTAAAAATACACCTTAAGAGCTATGTTGAATGACCAGGCTCTCAAAGTAACAACTTGACAACTTGAGTCTGTCTTGAATTTTATTCCAGGAAAAAATAAAATGCGTTCAAGATTTTCTAGATTTCCTGGGATGCCAATGAGTGAATCTTCTACCAATGTAAACTGAGTGGCCCTTCTTTCAGGGAGTATTCAGGGCAGTCACTATCAAAATTCCAACAGAATTGTTTTTGGAACATTATAAGGAAAGGCAAAGAGGTGATAAGGCAAACGTCAAGAGAAGCAAGTCTAGAAGACTCTTAGTGACAGATATAAAGACTTGTGATCCTGATGCAGTGATGGATAAGTGAGCAATGGCACAGAAAAGGGCCCAGAGAAACCCCACCTGATTTCTGACAAACGTAACACTGAAGTGCATGGGGGAAAGGATCATTTTCCCCCCCAAAAAAGGTGCTTCAACTGATAGCTTTATGAAAAGAATCATTTAATCTTCACACCATAAACCAAAATTAATTCTAAGTGTATTGCGATCTAAATGTGAA